AAGGATAACAGTTTAAAGGATATCAGGAGCTTCAAATACTTCAGGAGTTTCAAAGATGTTTAAAGTATTTTAACAGTTTCAAGGATTTCAAGGATTTTTCAGCTAAATTCCACATTAGATCTGTTCCGCAGTCAATCGCAATGGCTTCAGCCATTGCAAGTTTCTAGTTATTTATAGAGCCTTATTTACATCACTGTCTCTGACGAAGGCAGACGTCTAAACATGTGGTGATGAAGCAGAACAAGCTTCTTAACACTTCATTATATTAGAAGAACCTCCAGAGCCTGAAAGCAGCAGTAAGCGATTTGGTCGTTTCCGGCAGTTTCTTCTGCCTGAGCGAGTTAGTAGCCCCGCCCCCGTCTCCTCGTCACACCACATGAACGCGCATCGTCTTGGTGATGGCAGCAGCAGATTCATCTCCGTCAGGTCTACTCGTAAGTATATTAACAACAAACTCTGGGAGTGAAATATTAGCATAGAATAGCTCAGTTGTAACCTAGCTATAACACTGGAAGCAGCTTGGTGTTAGCTAGGATAGCATCACTAAGAAAGAGATAAAAACAATCCAGTCTTTTATAGAATAATACTGCTTTTATAGTTGGTACACTGATAACTGTTGTGATAAACATAATGTTGCAGATTGCAGTGTGACGTGTCTCAACATTATGCAATGTAACATCTGTTACATTGCATATGTATTAGATGAATGTAATGCATATACATTACAACAACAAAGCTTTACATGAAGGTTATTTAAAGTAATACATTACTGCTTTCCTCACAATTTGTATATTTGGAGTTCTTTATAGACAACACTGTAGTAATGTATTATGTGAAAGTAAAGCTGCATCTCACTGGAAGCTGCCTTCTCAATGTCACAAAATAAAGATACATTTATTGATGTAATCAACATCTGTATTATGTGCTTATTGTTCAGAGAATGAAGACAAAATCAAAGTGTATCAGAGCTGTACAGTGAGATGTGGGACTGAAAAACAATTCCAGTAAAGCTTGTCCGAAACGCAAAAGTACTGTCATAACTAATTACGTTACACTATTACACTGTAAGGAAACTCACCACTTTGAAAGAAAAGCTACAAGTAACAGAATATATAAAGTCATTTGTCATAACGGTTCTTTCAGGAAGCACTGAACGCCCTCTGTCCAGAGAAGCTGATGACCAGATCCTTTCCCTGATGCGTCTGTGAAAGGTGCCAACAGACATTGAAAACGTGCTTTCCTCAGCGGCCCCCATGGTGCACGTCCTCAGTGGCCCCCATGGTGCACGTCCACTCTGCAGTTCTGAAATATGTTTATAGTTGTACTATTTCAAAATAAAAAAAAATACATTCACCTCTTTCAATGTGCTTTGTTTTATAGTAGGAAAACAAATACAGTCTGTAACGAGTCTAAGAAACTTTATTATGTAAAAGAAGATTTGAAGTTATAGCCGGAAAAATATACACAATGTCCCTACTAAGACAAATAATTACAAGTGATGGTAAGGCAACGTTTGTGTTATCACTTGTTGCTCAAATGAATAACACTGTTATTATCCAGGTCCTTATCCATCGCTGCTGCAGCGAACACTATCAGAGATATCCAACAAAATGTTAATCTTTATGTTGTAGCTTGTTTGAACACATTTCCTCAAAATAATTCATAAGCAGCCACGCACACACAGCCACAAGCACACACAGCCACACGCACACACAGTCACAAGCACACACAGTCACACACAGTCACACACAGTCACACACAGTCACAAGCACACACAGTCACACACAGTCACACACAGTCACACACAGTCACAAGCACACACAGTCACACACAGTCACAAGCACACACAGCCACAAGCACACACAGTCACAAGCACACACAGTCACACACAGTCACAAGCACACACAGCCACAAGCACACACAGTCACACACAGTCACAAGCACACACAGTCACACACAGTCACACACAGTCACAAGCACACACAGTCACACACAGTCACACACAGTCACAAGCACACACAGTCACACACAGTCACACACAGTCACACGCACAGACAGCCACACACAGTCACACACAGTCACACACAGTCACACGCACAGACAGCCACGCTTCAGGGGCCCAGGTTGAAGGAACTGGAGTCTTCCTCTGGCAGAGATTTTCCTTTGAAACATAATAGAAGAGACATCAGTTTTATCTACTCAAATATGACTTTGATATATTCATCATCAATATCATCAGTATTTATTGATCACCAGGAGTGGCCCCTGATCCACAGGATCCTTGAACATGTTTATTTGGACTGTGAGAGACCGTGCATTGTGAGAGAAAGACACTTACATCGGCTGTTTTGGGAGTCGAGTGATTATCTCACTTCTCTTGATTGTTGAAGAAACTCAGCGACAGTTTTGTCAACACTGACTCCTGGAACATGATGGATATTCATTTTGGACCTCAGGGCAGCAACACAACTGTAGGGATGAACGACACACACATCACAACATCATTATCATCATAATCACTGCGTCCCATATATGCATTCACAACAACCTACATGACAAATGTGGGGTGTAAAGTCTTCCTCAGGAGATGACAATGGCCGATCTTCTAATTCTGGAAGCAAAGTCTTGTCTTCGCAGTCAATACTAGAGAAAGAAGAGGTCAGCAGAAAAGTATCTCGTCGTTATGGCATTGTTTTTTTTTAATAGTTATTTAACTTGCATTATGGAGGCTTTTGAACTCTTGTACATTGAAGACCTCATTCCAATTGATTTAGGCCATACTGGAAAAGATACAGAGAAAAGAATGCAATGAAGACATGTAAATTATTACAATGTCTATATTATACAGTTTTTCCCACACATAGACTAATCTGTGGCGCACCGCCACAGATTAGAGACCGCCCGCCACAAATTGCGTTTCGTATTATTATATATATATTTTTTTTGTTACGCTATTTAAAACATGCATCGTCTAGTGCCGCCGCAGCGGTCAATTTGACAGCGGGGAGGGGGGTTTAAAATGTGGCGGCCCTTTTCACGGGGGAACTCTGGTGATATGGTCATTTAATTTTGTACATGTGGGGAACTAATAATTGACCGGAGTTTATGGATGGCTGAGGCTGGGCTAAGGCTTCGATGTTGTGTTGTCTGTTGTTGTTTCTCAAAGCTAAGCCAAGGTAATGCGCAGTTATTGCCACAAAATGCGGCCGTATTTCTACAACAGCTGGGGATTTTTAACTAGCTAACTTGGTGAAAACCCGCATTACAGTCTCAGGCAACAATATGTATAAATAATACAACTACTACTGCCACTACTGAGTAACATGCTCACCTGTTCAGTCGGAGAGAGGAATCCACGGAGCTAGAGGTCGCCAACATGAATGCAGCTGGTCACCATGTTGCTCCTACTTTCTGTCCTTCCTCTGTTTCTGGCGTTTTGCCTGTATTTAATAAATCCATCCATGTATTTAGTCTGCAGCAGCGCTGGAGGCGGCTTTTCCTTCTCCGCCATGTTTGTTTTGAAGAGTGCGCGTGCACACACGGGAGAAACCTCTTATAAGGCGTGCTCTCTCGTCATTGGATAAGCGCATAGGATGTGAGGTTTTTTTATTATATAGGTGGGAGAAGACTGGAAGGACTGAGAGATCCGTGTTTAGGTACAAACACTCTATATAAGTGATGGCTATTGGAATATATCAATATTTAAGACGTATATTAACACCCAAAAATCGCTTACTGCTGCTTTAAGGTTATGAAGACATAATGCATGTTTTACCATTAAAGAAGAAAACATTTGCATTACTTCTAGCCATTCAAATCTAGTATGGGACTATTTGCTTTGTCATTTGTGTGTTTTAAAACGTAAAACCATATATTTTTTATACTATATATGGGCAATACTTTTCTTTTCAAAGTCATCGTGGACAATGACATCATACTTTCACAGGGTTGAGACGGGAGCTTTTAGAAAGAAAGGGGCGGAGCTTCATGTATGTGCCTGGTTCCTGATATAAACAGCGTGGAAGGATTTAAAAACAACCCCAGGTCTAATCTGAAACTGTAGCATCCCTGTCTCACTGTGCAACTTTTCAAAGAGCTCTACGTTGTTGTGGGTTTTGTGTTTTTCTCTCATCAACAGATCTCAAGTTGTTTTTACAGTCAGTGAATCATGTTTGAATTATTAATATTCCCGGCATTCAAGTATACCATCGCACTGACCGTCCCTCTCTTCACTGCTATTGTTTGGAGTTTTGTTTTTCATAATTTGTGATGATTCAGCAGCACCCATAAACTGTAACAAATAATAATGAAAACACAAAGGCAAGACAAGTTTGTTTGTATAACACAATTTCTACACAAGGCAACCCAAAATGCTGGAGAAAACAAGATGGAAACAATCACACAAGGCATTAATATCATAAATACTCACAGAAAGATAAAAGTATAAAATCCTTCAGTCGTATGCACAGCTAAACAGAACTGCTCCTGTCTCACATTTTCAGGAAGATTTTGCCAGAAATTAGCAGCATGAATCTGAAATGCAGCTCTTTAGTTCTGACTCTGGGCACCAGCAGGAGGCGCGTCCCTGTGCTCCTCAGAGTCTGAGTTGGTTCATATGACACTAATATACAGAGGTGTGGACTCGAGTCATGTGACTTGGACTCGAGTCAGACTCGAGTCATGATTTTGATGACTTTAGACTCGACTTGACCAAATATAAAAAGACTTGCAACTCGACTTGGACTTTAACATCAATGACTCTGACTTTCACTTGGACTTGCGCCAATTGACTTGTAAAGACTTGCGTAACCCGGGCCATTTTTACCTTTCTCCGCATCTCTCTTTCTATCTATGCCGTCTCTGAAGAAACAAAGCCTCGCGGTAGTTGTAGCGCTCGCGCGAGAGTTTGAACGTGAGTTCCAGGCAGTTCGCGCAGCAACACTTCCCTAAACAAGCGGACTGCATTCACCGGTGGGTGTGTTGTCGTAGGGGAGCTGGAAATGAGCGAGCTGCAGGTATTTATCGCGACCTAACGTCATATTTTGTTCTACAAACCGTAATTGATATGCTTTCACTACAGGCGCCTCATACAATTGAATCGACGCAGTTGTCACACTGTGTGCCGTGTTTTAAAGAGGAACTGGTGAGTCAAACTAGCGCTAGCCTGCGCTGCTCTGTTGGCTCTTTCTTATATTTTTCTGTGTGGGCGCCGAGGCCTATTATTATGAGTATGTTTTTGCTGTGCTCCTCCTGCTAAAGTTTGCATACATTAGATAGTTGTTTTGATTATGTGCACTAAGCTAGATTAATATTTGCACTATTGTTTATGGTGCATTGATATGAGAATCAGTGCTTTGACTGATTGAATTAATTTATATGAGACATTTTATTATGTAATGATATATTGGTAATTATTAGTGGGAAAAGCTCCCACTGAAAGATCAAGGCTATGCTCACACTCAGAGCAGCCGTCCTCCTGTGGACTCACCACCTGCAGAGGGTCAGTGAGGGGCTGGTGCTATGAGACTTGGGTGGCATCTCTGATTGCCACCCCCCTGACCCAGAAATGGATTAAAGGGTAGAAGATGGATAGATGGATATTGGTAATTATGAGATATTGCTAATGCTGGTCCAGTTGATGGCGAGCTGCCCCAGGTCCAAAGCCTAGACCCCTCATACTACCCCTATTCTACAGTAGGACATTTGGAACAATAACCACTACGGACATTAAACTGTCATATATAGATACAGGTCCTAGCCCAATACTCATATTCATATATGCTGCACTTGCTACTTCCCATTAAAAACCCCAAAGATAAAAAAGTTGACACGGACTGCTCTGATTTTATGTGTGGTCTGTGCATGTGTAACTGAGCCTGCATCTGGCACCACATCCAATTAGATCACGTAGATAGTTTTGATTTATCAGCAGCCAACGACATGGAACAAACTGTTAGTCCATGGGTCAGAGACCAACGAGAATGCACCAGCAAAATGATTCCTAACATTATTTTGTTTGCCTACAAAAGTACGTGGAGACCAACAAGAAACAAATCGCGGTCAAAAAGACTCGAGAGGACTCGAAAGTCAAACCGTAGGACTTGGGACTGACTTGAGATTTGTTGGCCTTTGACTTGGACTCGACTCGGGACTTGCCTGTCTTGACTCGTGACTTGACTCGGGACTTGAGGGCAATGAATTGAGACTGACTTGTGACTTGCTAAACAATGACTTTGTCCCACCTCTGCTAATATATCACAGATGTACTTTGGTGCGAGGCCATGAAGAGACTCAGTCTATTCTCTGAGCCACACGAAGCCAGTGCAGAGACCTGAGGACTGGACTAATGTGATCATAGGTTCTCGTCAAGACTCATGCTGCAAGCATTGTAAACATACTGCAGCTTTTTTACAGCGTGTTTGGAGAGACCTGCTACAGTGAGCAGGCCATTGCAGTAGTCTAACCTACTGGAGACAAATGCATGGATAAGAATCTCCAAGTCTGCTTTTGACACTATGTTTTTGATCCTGGCAAAGTAGGTGGTAAAAAGCTGCTGATGTTACTGACATAAGAGAGACCTGAGAGACCAGAGAGAGAACCAGAGAGAGATATGAAAGAGACATGAGAGAGAGACCAGAGAGAGAGAGGGAGAGACCAGAAAGAGACATGAGAGAGAGACCAGAGAGAGAGAGGGAGAGACCAGAAAGAGACATGAGAGAGATACTAGAGAGAGACCTGAGAGACAGAGAGAAAGAGACCATAGGTCAATTATACTATATATATAAATTATCATAATCATTTAGCTCTGGTTTACCTGCATTGTGGCACAGTGGACACGTATTGCACATTCTGACAGTATTATCCTCGAGTCACACAGTTAATGGTGACAGACAGGTGGACGGACTCTCTCTGACGCTGACACAGTCTTAAGCTGACGCCGCCACTTTCCTCTCACTACTAAATTGTCGACTTAGAATAATGTAGCTCTAACACGTGAAAGAATAATTATGTGAAGCATCTTTGAATGTCCAAAAGAAGTGCTGCATAAAACGGATGCATTATAATTATTATTATAATTGTTATTAAGAATATTATATATTATCATTATCATCATTATTAGTATTATAGTGATAAATCCTGACCTTCCTGGACTGAGAATGTGGTGTTTCTCCTGTTGAACCTCATCCTTCTCCTGAAGCCACAGATTCAGTTTGATTGAATTTATTTTTTTCTCAAGAGAAAAACATCATTTATTCAAAACAGTCGTAAAGTGAGCTTTCAATAAAAGCTTTTCATGCTGTAAGAACTGAGGCTGAACATGCAGAGACAGAGGTGAGGGAGAGAGAGGGGGAGGGAGGGAGAGAGTGAGGGAGGGAGAGAGGAAGAGAGTGTGAGTAATGGGGAGACACCAGAGAGAGTGAGGGAGAGATGCGCCGGAGAAAGAGAGAGGAAGAGAGAGAGAGAGAGTAAGTGAGGGAGAGGGAGAGAGCGAGAGAAATGGGGAGAAATGCGCGGGAGAGAGAGACAGTGAGGCAGCGGGATCAGAGGAACAGACCTCACTTAGAGCTCAGCCTCCGCGCACTGCTTCTCTTCAGCTCCAGTGACGCTTCAAAACACATCAGACACAACGCCGTGCCAACAACCGGCTTTCAGGGACCAGCTCTCAGGGACCTCACGGAGAGGGAGGCTCTCAGGAACCTAACGGAGAGAGCGGTTCTCAGGGACCTCACGGAGAGAGCGGCTCTCTGGACTTCACGCTGAAACCGGCTCTCAAGGACCTCACGGTGAGAGTTATGTGCATGTTCTTTCCATGCTTTTAGCAATATACTGTAGATACTGTATATGTACCAAATGGTTATGGCTCATGTGGTTATTGTTAATGTGAACAAATCCATTTCCTAATGCCTTAACGGTCACAACTTTTAAACCTGATTTCTCGCAACAAGAAAGCTATCTACATGGAAATTATTTTTATTTATTGTTGATGCAGATGTGTGACATACAGAGTTTGTAGCTTTAACTGACAGATCATAAAACATGGAAACATTAAGGACACAGAGTCTTGGATTGACTCGTTATCAACATTGGACCGTGGGACAGATACAGCAGACAGGAACATTGTTATAGAGACTGAGATGAGGAGACGTATCATTGCCTTGCTGCTGTCCGTGTTGTTGCAGTAGAAGAAGAAACACACGTAAATACAGTAACGATCAGACTCCAGCACGTGTCTGTGCTTCTTTGCTTCAGTGGTTAAAACGGTGGTGATTAAGCGACCAGAGAGAGAGAGCGAGAGTCATTTCACGCTTTACCTGCGCGCACTGGTCCCATGGAGCGCTGTGATGTGGTCTGACCCCCGCGGTGAACGTAACAGTCAGTTTAAACCCTACACACACATTCTGCGGTTTTACAGTTTGTCCAAAAGAGTCAATCGCACTCAAGTATCGGGCTTTTCTCTGATTTTGCTTTTTAACAAGACGAGGGTGCACTGAATAGAGCAGTTTAAGAGACTTGTACTGATAAAGAGGGAATGGGAGGACTGGATATTACACACACACACACACACACACACACACATTTGCACTCTCTCACACACACACACACACACTTGCACTCACACACACACACACACACACTTGCGCTCACACACACACACACTTGCACTCACACACGTAGATTAATATGCCATAACATTCTTTTCATCTTTCAATTCAATTCCATATTTTTGTATCAACTTACATCAAAATCTCGGAAAACTATCAAAGTGCTGTTGCATTTTATTATTACTATTGTTAGCTTTTTAGAATGATCAATTTATTTGTTTTGTTTGTGTGGATGTGATTTTGCTGCTACTGGACACCTGATTTTTTTTCTACGGGGATTGATAAAGTATCTATTCATCTATTGCCATTGGTCCAATTTGGGGCACATGAACATAAATGTTTTAGACACTCACTTCTGTGCTCAGACCCTCGTGCCTCATGTCTCTGGTCTGCTGGGGTTCTGAGGGCGCTGACCCCCTCCCCTTTGTTTCCTGTGCTCACAAAGTACCATGTCTTCTTCCATTTTAATATCCTCCCCAAGGAAACAGGTCATTCATCCCCAGTGTCCAGACTGTATCTCTGTCACTCTCTGTGTGTGTGAGAGAACAGAGCCGCAGGGAGAGGCTGTGTTTCTGCTCTTTGTGAAGGTTTGATGCATCAAAGAACCGTTGCTCCTTTTTTAGTTTAGTTCTTTTTTAAGTCTTTTCTTGAGAGGAACACAGCGGCATTAAGCTCAAAGACAGATATGTTCCTCACCAGATTACAACTGGACAGCTATAGTTTCCATCTGCAGCTCCCAGGTTTATAAAAAACAAAATAGCATAGGGCCCTATCTCTCACACACAAAACACACCAAAGAGAGATCACCTGACCTCCTGCCAGGACTCTTAGGAGCACAGGGACTGGCCTCCTGCTGGGACTCTTATTGTAGCACAGGGACTGGTCTCCTGCTGAAACTCTGAGGAACATAGGGACTGGCCTCCCGCTGGAACTCTGAGGAACATAGGGACTGGCCTCTTGCTGGAACTCTGAGGAGCACAGGGACTAGCCTCCTACAGGGACTCTGAGGAGCAAAGGGACTGGCCTCCTACTGGGACTCTGAGGAGCATAGGTACTAGCCATCTGCTGGGACTCGGAGCAGCAAAGGTACTAGCCTCCTGCTGGGACTCTGAGGAGCACAGGGACTGGTCTCCTGCTGGGATTCTGAGGAGCATAGGTACTAGCCACCAGCTGGGACTCTGAGCAGCAAAGGTACTAGCCTCCTGCTGGGACTCTGAGGAGCACAGGGACTGGTCTCCTACTCAGATCATGGACACAGTATTCTTCTGATTCTTCAGTCAGACAGACTCAGCGTGGGGTAAGCTCCTTCTGTAGCCATGTCTGCCCTGAGCCATCACACACATGAAAGCTCTGTTGCCAATCTCAGCCCGCGGCGATGTTTTATTTATCCTCATATAAAAGTCAGACTGTGAATATATCGCCTGCGGATCGTCTCTGTTGCTAAACATGTCCAGGCTCCTCTCAGCACAACTGCTATTCTGGGAGATCACCATCAAGGACTAAATAACAACAACAAATAAGAATATCAGGGACCTATGATGCATATTCAAATTAGACAGTTTGTATAGATAATGTATTTATTTCCATTGGGGAGAGAACAAAAAAAAACCTATTACAATTACATTAAAAATAATTGTAATACACCTACAATAGAAAAGGAACAGACAGTAAAACATGTATTCTGTTGTCTGTCCCATTCTTAACAATATATTTTACACATGCAGCTCGCATTAAAACTGGTTTGATTTAGTGTTATCATGCTCAGACTAGAGAGAAAGAGAACAGAGAGAGAGCACAGAGAGAGACCAGTGAGAGAGACCAGTGAGAGACACCAGAGAAAGAGACACCAAGAAACCAGAGAGAGACCAGAGAGTGAGAGAAAGACCAGGGAGAGACCAGAGAGATAGACCAGGGAGGGACCAGAGAGAGGGACCAGAGAGTGAGAGGAGAGAGAGACCAAGGAGGGAGAGGAGAGAGAGACCAGGGAGGGACCAGAGAGAGAGAGAGAGAGACAAGGGAGAGAACAGAGAAAGAGGAGACCAGAGAATGAGAGGAAGACCAGAGAGAGACCAGAGCGTGAGAGGAGAGAGAGACCGGGAGGGACCAGAGAGAGAGAGAGAGACCAGGGAGAGACCAGAGAAAGAGGAGACCAGAGAATGAGAGGGAGACCAGAGAGAGACCAGAGAGTGAGCGAGAGACCAGGGAGAGACCAGAGATAAAGTCCAGAGAGAGAGAGACCAGAAAGGTGTCAACAGAGACTTTGAAGGATTTGAAGAATTGTGCTTGAAAAGTATTCCCAAGTGTGTGTGACTCAGTGTGGGGTTTTGTGGTCAAAAATCAATATTTGTATCCCTCCCTGGGCCTCAGCCTTCAGATTATTGCCTTATTCCCTTCTAAGTATTCTGGTCACAGGCCTTTGTGCTCATTTCTCTACAGATCTCCACATGTTGTTTGTCTGCTGCTGATGTCGACTCTAAACTCTGCTTTTTGAATGATTATTCTTGAGTGTGTGGCGTCTCTCATCAGGACCAGCTTTCTGATGACGGACAGATCGAGTTAGTCTTTGGGTTTAGCCGTCTGTGCGTCTGAAGTAATCTGAGCGATGTGCGAGAGCTGCTTGCGTATGAGCTGGAGCCGGCGTGAGGATGGATGCTAGCTCCGTGTGAGCATTAAGACAAATGGCAGTGACAGAGAAAGCCGGCGATAGTTAAATGGGATTGCATTTGTCCACGTCTTGGTCGTTTAAGCGTCTTAAAGCACTTCAGAGACCACCTCCCTGCTTCATGCCTCACGTTCTCTCTCCATTTGTCCCTATGTAAAACGCCTGACACCCGGAGGCTATTTTTATTAGCTCTGTTTTAGTGGAACGACTTCAGACCACAGCAGCTATCTATAACTCACACACTGCTCCTCTGCTGCTCACCCTTTGGCTCAGTTCATTTCAATATATTATTATACATTCTTAAATCACAACTGCAGTCGTCTCTGAGAATCACCAACAACAGATCAGAGAATCAAACGGTTCAAACACAGGAAATGCAATAATATTCTTTTATTCATTTATTTTGAACCTCCTCAACCCATTTTTACATATATCAGTATAACAGACAAACAACTTGTCAAATAACAAATAACAAGAGGTTGGATGAGGCGGATGCTTATTTTATTTGATCATACAAACCTGCCATACACACACACACACACACACACACACACACACACACACAGGTTTAACACAATCATGCAGTAGAATTCTCAAACATACCACTGTATAGTAAAAAACAAACACATACTGTATGAGCCTTAGGTTCATAGGGAGAGAGTGAGGCTGTAGATCCAGGAATGAGAGTCTGGACTGGCCCTAGGCAAGACACTTCACCGATATTAGAATGAGTCTAGGGTGTGTGTGAATGGTTGGTGGTGGTGGGAGGGTCCGATGGCAGAGACTGGTTGCCTTGCATCTGTCAGTGTGCCCCAGGGCAGCTCTGGCTACAGTGGTAGTTTATTGCCCCTGTGTTTAAGTGAGTGAATAATGTCATATGAAGCCAGAAAATTGATTATTAGGCCGAGCCAATACGAAGTATTGGGGAGGCCTATTGTTATTCACCGGTTTCATATTATTATTTATATTATGATTATGATTTTTTTCTAGGCCGCCTGTTGCGGGCTCTGTTTCTTACTCAGGCTCTCATTACCTTTTGAATATGAACTTCTCTTTGTTTGAATAACATCATGATTTTCCAATGAAAACGGTTTTGTTTATTTATTTATTTTACTGTGAAGTGTGTTGTGTTCTCATGTTCTGTTTTAAACAGAACATGTTTTGCTTGATTCATTTTTCAAACTTTGGTTAAAAAAATCACAGTAAAATGAAGTATGAACATCATGTTCTGGGAAATCTTTTCATGGTGCAGTAAAAAGCCTCAAATGTTCTGGTGCACAGTCATCAGAGCGATGTTGGAGATGGATGGAGATGATAAACTGTGAAACCGTGACACGACACAGGAACCTTAAAGACTCAGAGGAAAACAGTCTCCAAACTGTCCAGGAACAAAGGAACATTCTGGTCAAAAATTAATTTGTAATTTACCGGAATCGTCGCATTTGATGAAATCAGAACAGGGGGGAGCGGGGAGATGTCGCATTCAGAGGACTGAGGGGAGAGCAATGGTGGGGCTCAT